CCCCAGTTTCTGGCTGGGCAGTCGCCCCCTGGCTTTGTTGGGCAAACAAAGCCAGCCGGGCAATATTCGCTCCACAGTCGGGCAATATTGGTTTATTATAGAAATAAATGGGACAAATTCTGTCAATTTTGTGGGAAATTCTGTCAATTATGTGGGAAATATGATATCTAATAGGAATTTTTTGTAATCACTTCTCCCTCCCCCCCCCTCCCCAATCACTTCTTTCCAACCCCCTAATATTTTCCTTCCCGTACGCCCATGCTTAAAATCGCATTAACTCGCTAACATGCATTCTGTTTGATACATTCAGTCAATAATGTACTCAAGTTTATCAATTGCTGCTATTTTGCTGGCAAATCATGTATAATCCAGGTGTTTTGCAATCAAAAGTAATGCAACATGGATAAATCAAATAAGTGCATTAGGCTGACAATATTTAGTCACTCAATAGGCTGCGGTCATTAATAAAAACAGAGCCTTTTTCTGCTTTATGCAGACTTTACAATAATTAGGCAATTCTGGGATATGAAAGCCCATAGATTCCATTACACTACCAGCAACAAAATTGAGTTACTGGTTAATTTCATTATTAATGGTGTAAAATGTGGAGGCTGGGCTACAATTTATATGGACTATGGTGGCTGGGCTACAAATTAATGTATAATATACATGGCTTCTCAAAGCCTAATTGCTGTTAGAACAACAGTAGGAGACTATGATAATGAGAGTCAATGAGTACGAGTATATAATAAGGTCATCCTGCAATTTATGCACTGTTGCATGTAGATCGAGCACTGCATTGTATACAATGGTTGTACTTCGACATGTGCATGGTTATACTCTAGCTCCTAGTTATAATTATATTGGCTATCATACGAAAAACATACGTGAGGTTTAATATGAGCGAGATTTGCAAGTTTTGCAACTCTCATCTATTAAATTTTCCAGACCTGTATATAAAATAAACAGTAAAACAATGATTACATCGTACATACCATACAATCTTTGTTGTCGCTTGTTCGCACAACACTTGACAAATTATCAGGTAACAGACTTAAAACCGCGATGTAGTGCGCGGTGTGCCATTTGTTAATATCATTTTGTTTAGTATTTTTTTTAAATAATTTAGAATTCCGACAATTTATATGCGATGTACTTCATGTAAATTAAACTTTACGGCATTACGCCGACAGTTTCCGAATGCGTGACAATACTGTTTCAAACTGTTTCTGGATATAGATATCAAACATAATTTCATAAAACATGTTTGTTGAAACAGTTTAAATAAAATGCAAGCTAAATAAAGAAGTGTTGACAAGATACAAAACAAGACAATTTCACTTACAAGGGTGACAAGGTAATTTATATGAATATAGCTTATTGTAACTGTATAAATATATTGTGCGTTTCTTCTCCCTGTGGGCTGTGGTTCTTTTGGAAATCAAATATCTATTATATTTTGCAATTAATAATATTAAAGTTTAGCCTAAGACATGTGTAGTTTAGTTATAGGTTGGTATTTTGCAATTATGTACCGTACATGCCCCTTAAGTATATAGAGTATATTTATTAACTGTTTACAATATTTGTGGTATATAATGTAGCCATGAATGTATCACCACATGACCTCACAAGATGAACTCCAATGGCTTCTAAATAAGACAATGGATGAAAAGTTCACGAAGATTGGGCTTTATATATGATTCGGGTTAAATACAATAATTATTAACCTAGCTTTATATAAAATGTACGTACATGTTCTAATAATTGTATTTTGCTTCATACAATGCATATGTGTCAATGTGTGTGAAAACATTACATTATTCAGCTCACTCCCCTTTGGGGCTTTTCAGTCACCGCTTACATAAAGTATTAGGGTTACTTATGTTAGTCTAGACTATATATCTTTATAACAATGAGAATATGATATCACTTTTCTAACTGTGTTTATCCTAACCCACCCTGCCATATTTTGCCTTGTGGGAGGAAACCGGAGCAAAATATAAAATTCAATTACCTTGAAAACACAGGTCTAAATTGCAATCCCTAAAATTTAGAATTTTCTCTTAAAATTGCAATCCCTAAAATTTAGAATTTTATCTTAAATCGCCTTAAATCGCCTAAAATCGCATTAAATCGCAGTGCTTGAAAGTCCCAGTTTTTCCCAAAATCGCCTAAAATCGCCCAAAATCGCATTATATCGCAGCGATTTAAGGCGATTTACCGCCCCAGAGTAGGCCTCACTGAATCACCAATTCAAATTCTTTAGATACTTTTTACCTTATTTGCTTGTCCTCAAATGGCAGTGCAAGTGATTTACCATTCTTCTAAATACATTTTACCAATAAATTCGCGAATTCACGAATGTTCGAACATTTTCATGCTGTGAGCATGGTAAAGAAATCCAAATAAAAATTATTTAAAATAATACAGTAGACGTAAACTAACTATGAATAAAGGCATCTTGAAATTTAATCGAAATATTAATAACTAACTGCCCGAGAGTGAGGACTCGGTGTATTGACCGAGCGATAGCGAGGTCAATACAGCAAGACCGAGGTTGGATATTTTTCCGTACTGCCCATGCAAACGGTTGAGGGAAAAATTATAAATCTGTGGCTGCTTTATGATGTCAAATTTCTCTTGGCTATCTGCAAATAAACTTCAGTGGAGCTCTCCACATGTTCTAACACAACTATTCTTGACTGTTTTAGTTATAAACATTGTAAAATTTTTCTCGTAATTTCGACTTTCGCTAACAAAAATGTATTGACAACGTTCTTTAACCACAACAGTTGCTCCTTTGATCTATTTTAGGTCTATTTTTCTTCGTTTTGAATAATTTGAATGATTTTTAGACACTTTTTGAAATTGGGAAATCCTGTCTCGTCAGCAGCCAATCAAATTGAGCGATTCATCAAAACAAATGCTTGCCATATAATTAAACTGTATATTCGCCTATTCTTGTTATCATATATTCTTCAAATCGTAAGAGGTAATTAAGATGCTCTTATTGCGAGAATATTTTATATCGTATTTTTTCCAATTTAATGTCAATTTAAAGCAAACATTTTGAAAACTTTATATTATAATAGAGTATATAATTTTTAATTCCAATATATTCCTTTTATTCCAACTTATTCCAATATATTGCTTTTATTCCTTCTAGGTGCAATTGATAGAGAAGTTGCAGTCTGTTCAACAGTTTTTCGCCAAAGAAATACAAAATGTCCTGGATAATCACTCTGTCATGGGAAAAGATATTGAAGATCTAAAAGTTAATTACCAAACAACGTCCCAACAATTGCAAACTTTACAAAACGAAGTGTCAAAACTTTCTATAGCACACGAGAAAATACCTTATCTTTTTATGTTGCCTGACAGAACAGAATGGTTCTCTTGTCGAGATTCTGAACTGGAAAATCTTCACACACTTCTTCAGATCAATGATGATATCAATGAATCAAAAGTTCAAATTGCATCCGTGTGCGGGTTAGGAGGATGTGGTAAGACGAGCCTTGCTGCGGAATATGTACATCGATGGAAAGATTATTATGAAGGAGGCGTATTCTGGTTCTCTGGCGAAGATGAAACAAGGTTTGCTAACTCGGTAGATGACCATGCGGTGTATCTTGGAACATTAGTTGAAGCATCAGCTGGTAGAGCTCTTCTTAAAACCCTGGAAGAAATTTCCAAGATTAAAAAACCTTGGCTACTTGTCCTTGACGATATGGATGAATTCAAGCTTTGCTCCAATATTGGAATGTTGTTGTCTGGTCCGTGGAAACGCAGAGTAAAAGGATCTGGTCATATCTTGATAACTACAAGACGAGAGCCGAAAGTAATGCGTGAAACCGTTCGTGGTCTCATAGAGTCCCAGTGTCTTCAGCTCGTCTGCTAAAGCTGCTGACCTGGTTGAAACACTTGGGGGACTACCGCTTGCCTTAGAGCAAGCATGCGCGTACATCAGCCACCTTTCCTGCAGTATGTCGGAGTACTTACAACAATACGAAAAGTACTCTCTCGGATTGTTAGATGAACAAGATGCAAGTTCTGCTTCCATGTATGAATCCCGAGAACGATTGGCAGTGCGCACAACATGGCTACTCAACTTCGAGTATATTAAGCAAAGTAAGAATGGCAACTTTGCTGTTAGATTTTTTCATGCATGTGCCTTTTTCAATCCGGCTGAAATCCAGCAAGACCTTATTAATCCTGGAAAACCTCCCATTGAAGACGATTCTTACCAAGAGTACGTAGATACTGCGCTAGGTTCATCACACATATTGAAGTTGCTTACTGATTTTTCATTATTCAAGAAAAATAGGCGTTCTTCTCTTACTGTTCATCGCCTGGTTCAAGAGGTTATTCGAGGTAATATTTCCCCAGAAGAATATGTTTCGTCTTTAGTTGATGCAATACGCCTTCTAAGCTACGCTTTTTCATTCTCGCGTTCCCCAGATGATCTTTTAACCAGCATGATAAATAAGCATTATGACCGAGCTTCTCTTCAGACAACTGATCCATCTCTTTTCCACAAGTGGCATAAGATTTGCTTGCATGCTCATGAAGTACGGAAGCTTCTTTTAGATTTCCTAAAATCATCTCAGCTTTTAGACCAACGAATCGTCATCCCAGAAACTGCCAGGTTGGTTTATGAATGTGCTCTTCACCCTTTTAACAAAGGACGATTTGGCAACTTTGTTTCCTCACGAAATACCTTTGCCGGAGTTGGTTCGGAGAGTTATTTCGTATTCCTGTGTCGCTCCTCGTGACACTAAAAGTCTTTCTTCCGTTGTAGAGGAGGAAGATATCATGCCATTTTCAGACTTGAAAGAACAAGAGAACGCGTGTAACGAAAAGCGTGTAGAAGGGAATACTTATTTCCAGGAGGGTCACTTTGAAAAAGCAGTTGAAGTATACACTTCTGTGATAAACATGACCAAAGGTACAAGTTCCTTCGATCCTACTTTTCTTAGTAACAGAGCTTCAGCTTTCATTAGGTTGCACAATTTTGGCGATGGTTTAAGGGATGCTGAAGATTACATTTCCCATCTCCCTAATTGCTGCAAAGGCTATGCCAAAAAAGCACAGGCATTGCATGGGCTGAAAAGATTTTGGGATGCAACTTGTGCTGCAGCGTTTGCATATTATTACAACAAAGATATCTTCAGCAGCTTTGCGCCATTTAAGCATTTGTTTCATTCTTTAAAGGATCGCATATATATTTGTCGTTCAAGTACTTCTTTACTTGTTTCCTCCATTTTGCATTGCAATTTCCTTTCTCAGAAAGAGTCTGAATTACCCCGTAAAATCATTATTTTTGAACCAGGTGATTATACATTCCAGAGACAAATGTATATTTGTGATACCATATTAATTGGCGTGGAGGACAGTGAGACGAAGCGGATTCCTCTATTATCTTTTCAAGGAAGTGTTGGCATGTTTTCATCTAGATGTATAATGGCGGTGAACATTTCTTTTGTTTTTGATGCGGGATGCTGGGAGACCAATGATGATACGGATGCAACCTTCATGAATTGTAGTTTCACAAGTAACGCAGGTCAAGGAAAACAAGCTTTTCTCTCTTCAGGAGCTTCAACTTTTACTAATTGCCACTTTGACAACTGCAAAACGTTTGTCCAAAAATGTATCTTTTCCGCAAACGGCGGCCTTGGAGTGCAAGTCTTTTTGGGTGGCGAGTTAGAACTGAAGAATAGTAAGGTTCATGGCAATGAGTTGGGAATCCACATGGGACCAGATGCCGGGCGTTGTTGTGTCATTAATTGTGAGATATACGATAACCGTTACCAAGGAGTTGTAACGTTCCGTAGTTCCAATATAATTCTCACTGGTAACCGTATCTATCAAAATGATCGACATGGCATTAATCTTGTAGGACTTTCGTTTACACATATTGAAAAAAACGAAATCTTTGAGAATTGCTGGCGAGGTATTTCCACCATGGATAATGCCAGGTGCAACGTTATTAACAACAACATTTATCGCAACAAGTATGGCGGTGTACAGGTTGTATCAATAGGTCCAGGCCCTGAAGAACGTCATTCTATTGTCGAAAATAATAACATTTTTGACAATGGTGGACCCGGCATTTATGACGAAATGGTGTTTAGAGATGAAGCGAATATACCAAAAGAGCAGACACTTAAAGAACACATATATTTTTACAAACATCGCAAACAAATGCGGAAAACGAAGTTGAAAGGAAACAAAAAAAGAAACAATAATAAAACCGATCATGTGCATCCCGAAAAGGAAGCGGAACCGTTAGATTTATGTGTATTTTGTGGAGAAAAGAAACCGTTACAGAATTGCAGAGGATATTATTCTGTTGGATATTGCGTAAAGAGTTGTCAAAAAAGTGACTGGAAAAAACACAAAAGCGTATGTGCTTCTTTGCTGCAGGAATCTAGTGTCGTCGTAAATGTAGTTCGAAAGGAAAGCTATTTAGGCAGGGCATCCAAAGGTTATATAACTACCACTTTCAACGAGCAAGCGCCAGGTCTTGATCCCAAGGGACCAGAATACGCCAACCCACCCAAATACGGAAAAAGATTTATAGTGAAGGTCCAGGCAGGAGATTCAATAAGACAGTCGAATTTAGGAACTTCGCTACTTGTTGTTTACGATCGCAGCATGACAGTTCATGGTGATCTAGATTGGAAACATTGCCCTCTTTATCACATTGTACAACGGTGCGGTAAACTTTCTCATGGTATTGGATGGACGAAAATGTACTTTTGGGCAACGTTCTGTAATCCGGACGATTATAGCACACTTCGTATTTTTACGAAAATGCTTCCACCATACCAAAATTGGTAAATTTTCAGGGTACTCCAGTAACTTTCGTTAGTCTTTGACAATTATATGATTACAATTTTTGCATATTACACAATTGGGAACATGAATTTTAACCAAGGTTAATTGGTGAAGGAATAGGGAAAAAGTTCTTGATAGACTCCATTCATACCACTTTTACTAACCAATTTAGATGTGGCAAGATTGCGCATTATATCTATCGTATTACAGTAATTTAACGCAATATTATAAAAGCACTGGATAGTGTCAGTATGTTCTGTTGAATAATTTTCACACATAACCGAAAATTTTCAGTGGTTATATCTTGTTTTAGAACTCGTTGACTCACTGTAATGTTTCTAGTAGTTTATAATGTATCGCTTCAACCATACAGGACTGGTGTATTTATATACATCAACAAAATGTTTACATATAGCTTATCACACAAGTTTATATCTGGAGAAAAATTTGTAAGATGTGACACTTAGCTTGGTAAAATATTAAGCTATATAAAACGCTCAGCTGCTCCTCGCGTTTATATCTGATAAAAAATTCTTACTCGTGTTCTAAATAATACTTATAAAACTGCAGAGATTATATGGATGCCAAAAGTATCAGAAATTCGGAAACATTCTATATACCAAACATACTGAAAGCTGCACCGAGGCGGGATATATAGTACAGATGGTAGCCTACAAAACGAGGCATTTGAAAACAATAAGAACAAAATTTTGCCACTGATTCACGTGAGCGTCCCACGTCCGCGGTCATAATACGTCTAATAATTTGTGCGAGCGATCGCGATTCAATTAATCATGATTGCGTTGTGTAATCGTAATTACATCAGATTTCGTTGCTTTTTTTTATCTTTAGTATAGGTAATCACACGGGAAGGAGTGCAATTAATGATTAATAACACTACGAGTGCTATTTTAAAAATGTGCCAAAATTGCACGAGTCGCCGAGGCGAGTGCAATTTGGCACATTTTTAAAATATCACACGAGTAGTGTTAATCATTAATTGTACGACTTGCCCGTGTGATTATTTATTTATTATATGCATGACAAAATCGCTTGCTTTATAAAAATTCAACTGCATTTTGTCAAGAGTTTTTAATTCTTTTGTAAGCAACTTGGTATAAACAAACTGGGGAAATGATTACAAACTCATAAAAGTACATAACATAAACTAGAACACAAGATTCAAACTCAAACAACATATTTTAGACGAAGAAAATCTTTATAAATTGTATTACAAACTTACATAGTCACGTTTCGCTGCATCCCACCAAGATTATTTCTTAAGACTGTTTCCAGGTATTTTCCACAGGCTCATTTTGCCATACAATGTTTCTTAAACTCATTCTTGTGCCAAAATTCAGTTAATTCGTCCACATTTTTTTAGCCCGCGTGCAGGCCCAAGGGAACTGATAGTGGGCCTGCAAGCAAGGCCCGGTATTTTGTACTTTCCGCGTTCGCCCACGAACGCGGCATTCTGATTGGCTGTTTGCTGTTGGATTCTATAATTAGGTCAGTGATTCATCACAAAGGCTCTCGATAAGCTTAAAATTCGAAAATTGATCACATTTTCCGATTATAAATGGAACAAGAACAGACTGTTTATTCTGCTGTGTTGGTGTAATACTGTAATGTACTCAGGTGAATATGGTATGGTATTCCAAAGGTCGTAGGTTCGAGTCGTAGGTTCGAGGTTCGTAGGTCCGAGTCGTAGCTTCGAGTCGTAGGTAGAGTCGTAGGTTCGAGGTTATTCCAAAGGTCGTAGGTATTCCAAAGGTCGTAGGTTCGAATCCCGCCGTGGCCAGGCACATTTTTTCAAGCCTGCCCGCTGTGGATATAAACTCAGAGTAACATCACACAAACATCAGACTGTTTATTGTTTACTTGAAGGAAGAGATGTTTTTGCCGTTATGCCAATGGGGATTGCTTGTCGTGAGGTGTTGGAATAGCAACATTACGACTGGGGTAAACTATAGTAACCTTTACTTGAGTTTCATTAATTTCAAACAGACTTGATACGTTATATGTTCCTCAAGAAAATTATCTTTTGGTTGATGTTGAGATGCAGTTGCATGTAAGCCTATTCGAAACACTTTGCGATTTCCAAGGCTTCGCTGAGAGTGCGAAACAGAAGACGGTATTAAATTGCCGTTTGAAACGAAACGATCTGGACTCTGAACTCTCTCTTCTTTTGTAGTGTTCTTTACCAAATGAAATAACTGAAATAAATTTCGTACTTTCCGCCGCCAACACGAATTGCACACACGATCTGATAAGTGAGACAATTTATTTATAACAATGGCCACAGCGAAGCACAATTATAAATGCTAATGTGGTCGCACGACTTCCCTCACGATTTGAAGTTTGAGACTAGTTTTCTGTTGAAATTCGTCCTAATTTGCCTGTTCCGATTTTAGTTGAAAATGAGCACTTGCAAATTTGGCAATTACTGACTGCGTTGCTTGCTTTTTTGGAGTTAAAACGCAGCCATTTACACATTGTTTATGTTCTGAATAAGCAGAGAAAACCCCCGCAACATTTTAATGCGAGTTTGTTTGTTAATATTTGGGTGCTGTCATTGGTTCTTTTTTGACAATTGACGCGCGAATGGGCGTGTTATGAAAAGCGGCGTTTTACAAAATACCGGGCCTTGCTTGCAGGCCCACTATCGGTTCCCTTGGGCCAGCACGCGGGCTAACATTTGTTACAAATACTTATCTAAATTTCGCCGCCATATTGGATTTTGTTGTTTCGATTTCCCGCTCCCCCCAGCTATCACGAAAATCATTAATTCCACTCCTGGAGAGTGCAATTAATGAAATAATTGCACTCCTCTTAACCAATCAGATTGCAGTAATTTTGTCATGTACTGTATATAATAAATTGTGAAAGATCCAGATCACGTCTTACATAACCTTCTCCCAGAAAAGAGATCCAGAACTTTAAGAGAAAGAAAACACTCTTTTATTCTACGAATGATCAAAACTGAACGTTTTAAACACTCATTTTTAAATAGATGCTTATTTGACTATTTTTGATAATTAGCTAATTTAACTTTTTTTAATCACTATAAAATAATTCTATTGTAATTCTACTTTTAATCATTGTAATTGTAATTTAACTCAATTGGAATTGTAAAGGCACACGTTTGTTGTGCCTCCTTCCTATTTAATAAAGACTTAACAATAATAATAATAATAATAATAATAATAATAATAATAATAATAATAATAATAATAATAATAATAATAATAATAATAATAATAATAATAATAATTATAATAATAATAATGGAAACTTTATTGTAATCCTATACATTAAAATACATATAAATTTGATAGTATATATAACCTGATAAAACTAACTCATATGTTTCTCTCCAATGTAAACATAGGGCAGTCCACAGAGATTACAGACATCGCTATAGTAGTAGATCCTTAGGATTAATAAAACTTTAAGATAGGCGGAGATGTCCATTGTTTGTTACGACGTACATATATATAAAATGAGGCACGCATAGCTACTTCCATACACTTTTCAATCATTCTCTTATAGTTAATGTTTGTATTTTTAAAGACACTGTATAAGTCATCTATATGTTTTGTTACTAATCCAAGTGTTGTAAATTCAACGAAAATCTTTCTCCAGTAACGAAACCTTTTCTTGCAATCATTTTGAATATCCCTATATTTGCTGATCTTTAGGTTCCTGCTCTTTTCAGAGTTTGTTTCAAAGCAACACGTCAATTCCAAAATGAAGATTCTGTCATCTTTTATTAGTACAATGTCTGGGCGGAATGAATGGAAGAATTCGTTAGGATTGTCAAAATTGTCTAGATCGGCATAGATTCGAAATCCGTATTTCCTTAGTTGAGATACATATTAGTGAAGCAAAGTGTAAAGAATTGAGTCATAATAATAATAATAATAATAATAATAATTTTAAACAACAGAAATCTTTATTAATAACATGATAATTTATACAAATATATCACATAATTAGACTTTCAATTAAATCAGGAAAATAGAGAAACAGTTCACTATATTAGACAGATAGGTCCATTCTCTACACTTTATATCAATAGTAGCTAATAAAAATTCAGTAAGTCTGGGTTATTCCACGGCTTATTTCTTTATTATCTTTATTATATAATAATAATAATAATAATAATAATAATAATAATAATAATAATAATAATGAAAACTTTATTAATAGAATATTTATAGATATATACAATTGTAAATCTCACTTCTTGAGGTAACCTACAATTGACTACTTGAATCACTTATACATGCATGGTTATAATTTTATATACAAAAATTGTTAATTATTTATAGAAATAGTTACTTTAAATGTTCATTAGTTCGGGATTTCTCCATTCTTTATTTCTACAGCAAAATATGTAGTACGTTGATCGGATGGCAATAGATATAATTTTTCTGATACAATATTGTTGGTGTTGATTATCCAGTCCGAACTCATTTAGCATTTTTACGAATGTATGACATTCTTTGTCAAACACCCCTAGCGAACTGACA